TCGGTGCTAACGGATGCCTACTCTGATCTTTCCACCCTTCCTGATTCTCACAAAGAGGAAACTAAACTTAGCAATCCAGTTTTGTGGGGGAGTAACCAGGGTAAGGAGTTGAGGATAAACTGAAGGACAAAGGTCAAGTTCAGAAAGCTGATCTACCAGATCTTGCTCAGAAATTTACACAGGTATTCAAAGACGGAGAATGAAAGGAGCTACGTGGAGTTGGCAGAATGAAAAACATTTAAAAGTCTAATGACGCGTAAGCATGTAGGGGGCAAAGACGAGAAAGAATAAAGCAAAATTTCCTGTATTTCTTTTTAGCCTAAGTCAGGATCATCTCCTGTTCTCCTTGTCTGATTCCTAATAAAAAAGTGCAAAGAATAAAATTCAACTTTGAGATGATACCATGTCTCAGATTTTAAAGATTTTGTTCTCCCTTCAAACTCCCACTCCCCCTTATCAGGACTTGGGTCCTAAACAAATAACTAGGTATAAAGAAATACACTGCTGTTGATTTTAGCATGGAATAAAGCTATAAAGCCAATCCATAGTCTTCTTTTCCTTTGTAAAACCTCTTGTTTTGAGAAAGGAGATAGCTGGGTCAAAGGAAGAAATTCGAATCCATGATTCTGTGAAAGAAGGAAATATAAGAATTATTTCCCTAATTCAGTCTTTTACCACCTATGGGGTGTCCGATTCTTAAAGAGTACTTTGCAAAAGAAGATTGTGTTTACAATGGAAAAATGGGACTTAAAAAAATATATACCTTGATGTTCAGAATATAATATGGAAAGACAAACAGGATGTTTCTCAACCTTAAGGCATATGTAACTGAAAGGTTTACCTTTTCAAAAGTTCAGTTTATGGCACATTTGATCTTCATTCCATTATACCAATGTGCCAAATTATTCTAATAAGAAAAACTGTCCTGTTGCCAGGTACTCCTGACATTATGCATCTGAGTTTTAAGGGCTGTAATGTTTGGACATCATTTATAAAATTGTAAGTTTTATCTTACATTTTTAAACTAACAAACTTTTTAAGGAGACCTTACCCATACAGAAAGTTCTAAAGACTTTGTGTATCTCGTGGGTATATCGTATCCTAAACTATATTGTGGTTGTTGGAGAATGTTATTTTTTATTGTACATTCAAATTGGAATTTTGTCATTCCCTGTTTTATTTCTCTTCAGAAACACTGTTTCTTCCTATGTTCAAACTCTAATATATATATTTATGTGCATATACATAAATATATACATATATATACATATATATATATATTTGAACACACATATATGTGTTTAACTATTTTACTGATGTTTCTTGAAATGCCAGTGTTTTATGAAGGAAATATGTTCCTGTAAGTTCACATAAAATCTAAAGGTCTTTTTTTGGTTTAGTGTTTAGAAAATTCTTGGTAACTTAGAATCTTTCACAATGGAAAGTAAAGCATTCTGTCACAAAAGCAGGGAGGATGAGACATAAGGTCAAAGGGCACTGTAGAAACAAACAGCTGGACCGGTTTATTTAAACAGATACAGGGATGGGGGAACTGACCTCTGTTTGACTTATAGTGGGAGGAGCAAGAATGTCATTTTATTACTTTGTCCAGAAGGAAAATGTTTTTATATCTGAATTCACCCTGAAGCCATCTAAGCACATGGCTTTGCTATATGTATCGTGATTCCAATGAGAGTACATATAAGAAAGTCTAGGATAACAATAAAATACACTAAAGAGAATCAAGTGTTGAGATGGTTTTAAGATTAAAAAGGTGAGGTTGTTCTAATAAAATATTTAGCTACTTGTGTATTTACTTATGGATAAAGGTGTCCACCATGACCCCACATAATATTATCAGTGTTTCATATATGTATAGGAATTGTAATTTAGCAACATTCTAAGAGTTTACTATGTCCTATATGTATGGAAATGTTTATTATATTGAAAAAAGATTTGTTTTAAGTTTTCAAGAGTGAGAAGTTCCAAGTATACCTAATGTGCTCAGAATTCATTCAGACAAAGTGATTAGGTATTCTTAGGTTTTCGATGTTTTTTTTAAATTTTTATATTTAAAAAATATAAATTAATGAAAAGATTTCCATCTTTATATCCACATATCCATTAGGTAGCCTTCATCTGTTTTGTCAGTAACCACAAATGGTTATTGCCACAAAAAAGAGAAGTAAATAGCACCTAGTTAGTAGTACCTGTGAGCCCCCAGCTGAGAGGCTGTAGAGAGGTGTTAGCTCTCTGCATGGGGACCACCACCAGGCCCCAAGACGTAACTGCATTTAGTGTTGTCTGCTGAAAACCTTCAGAGGCACATGGACAGGCAGCACCCTGAGCAGAGACGAGCGAAGTCATGAGTGGACTCAAAATTCTAGAAGAACACACATTCTAGAAGGAACTTGTTAACAATCATGGATGTTTAACCTAGAGAGAGAAGGGGGGAAGTCTATGGGGCATGATGGCTATAATTTAAGTACTTGAAAGGCTATCTTGAAGAATTGGTATTAGAATTGTTTAAATTACCCCAAAGAGTAGTCCTGGGGAGACGACTTCAGATTGAGTAAGGCAGAACCTTCTAATAAGTTGCCTTGTCCATAAATAGGGTGGACTCTCAGTAAGGTGGCAGGTACTCTATTAGAAGCAGTCCAGCAGAGGCTACCTATCTCTTTGGTGGGGATATCAGAGGGGATTGATAGCAGTGACCAGGCTCTGATGGTTAAAGCTTTTTAAACTTGAGGTATAATTTTTCTGATTCCATGGGTTCAACAATCATGCATTCAAACTTCAGTTGATCATTATGAACTGGTCTTTGGAAATCTGAATGTTTGCACATGAAAGAGGCAAGCTTTGGAATACAGGTACCTCAAGTCATGGAATCTTCTTAAGTGTAGCCATCTTTGTCTATATACACAAGCAATACAGTCATCAAAATCCGTAGTCTACAAAAAGTTCAGTCTTGCTTATTCCCAGACTCAATAGTAGGGCTGTTGCCAGTGGTGACTGGTTCAAACTAGCTCATTTTTAACATCTATTCAGTCTGGAATACTGTATTTGAGTGGCATAAAGTGGCCATGCTCTGGTCAGGACATTGGAGAGGGGGAGCTCACTACCAGTTGCCAGCTGTGTGTCATTCAGCAAATTATTAACATCTCTTGGGTAACATGTGCCCTCAAATAAGTCACTTAATTTCTCTGTGTCTTGGCTTCTCATCTGGTAAAATGCATTCTTCCTATTTTTTGAGAGGTAATATCAATCATATCCATAAAATAGTGTGTTTTTAAAAGAATACTTAAAAGTTATCAGAGTTCCTTCCCTCTAAGAGCCTGAAGATTATAAAAGTACCATAGATAAAGAGCTGTTTTCTTGCTCTCTTACCTATGTTAGTTACTATGAAAATTACTTTTAGTATATGCAGAATATTAATACTAAATAATTTTCTGATTGGTCATGCAGTGAAGGCAGCTAATGAAAAAGCAGATTTTTTTTTCATTTTAATTGGTTATTTCACATGCTGTTTGTGCTACACCTGTGCTTATAATGAGAATGGAGAATTAATCTAACCTTCTGCTCACATGATTCCAATTTTCATGGTTTATACAAGATAATGATAACCTGATTTGCAACACAATTTGTTGTAGATCTGTGTTTTAAATATTTTTATTAGCAGTTCAGGGACTCTATACAAGAACTGATATAATGTACATTGCCAATAAGAATTAGCACCAATGGTGTCCTTTTAGTTAGACTCTAGTTTCATTATTTTTTTTAATTTTCAGATAATGAAAGAACATAAGGATATATGATGTTGGGAATCTTAAAATGTCACAATTTATACATTCTTTATTTTAAAACCTTGTCCCTGTCTGTTTAATGGTTTGGTTTTTAGAAACTATTTTCCTTCCTGAAGAGGTAGACTTAAAACCTAGAATTCATCTTGGACTGTGGATCCTTTAATTATCAATAGCACATTATTAAACTTTTCATTGTATTTTTTTTATGTGCTGCTCATGTTTGATATATTCAAATCTGAGTTATGAACTAGAAGCAATTTACTATTTCAGAAGCTAATAGGTCTTGTTTGTTTTCTGTATTTGATATGTACTTCTTAGTATTACGTAGTACAAATGGATCTTAAGAGCTAGAAATTTCATGAGTATAACTTGGGAGAGTTTGTATTAATCACTTAAAATTTTCTTCAGTGGCTAGCCACTTTTTGAGGGGCCACAAAAATGGTAAAAAAAATTTTGTTAAGATACTTCAGTGACTTAAGTGTCTTAAGATATTTATTAAAACTGTTCAGGACTAGCTAGAGAAAGCAAGATTGTAAGCTCAATTACTGTATAGTTGTGACCTCGCCTTGACCTCAAACTTTGCATAAAGAGAAAAAAAAAGCCACCCCAAGAAATCTCTACAAGGAATGTATTTCTCTGAAGTCCCCAGCAGTGAGTTAGTGGTGATAAACTCCAGACATTCTCCCATTTGATGGTGTGCTGTCAATCCCAGTTTATTATCTTAATAATGGGCATTAAAATAGAATTAGGTTTGCAAGAGGTAGGGAAGGTTTTGATAAAAATTGTAAAAAAAAGAAGTCAGAGAACATGAGATTGAAATGTCACTAATTAGGAGAGGTAACATGCATCTCACTCGCTATACCAAATTTTTCCCCTTGCAATCGAAAAGAGTGGTGGCTAGTATTGTTTCCTGAAACTGCTAATTCCCCCATGAAAAGATGAAATGGAAGTGTCCAGCAGTGGTAAAACAGGCAAACATAAATCAACTCAGAAACCCCAAGCCTGTGTACTCAAAGGTCACTGGGGGTTACAGGTCGTACAGCATGTGAAGCTGTGCATAGAGACTGGAGAGAACCGTTTTGCCAAGATGGAGCTTTGCTCTTGCTATGATGCATCTTCTCTTCCTCCACCTTCCCCTTCCACACTCCCACTTTTTGGTTTAAGGAATAATAATCTGCTCTACTTTGTTGGTTACAG